CTTAACCCACATATTTAAATATAATTATCTGTTGAGAACCTTACAGTACAATCAACATAGCTACCAAGGGTGCTTTTTTTTTTTTTTCCAATGTTACAGAATTTACAAAGTTACAGAAATTGGTATTTTAAGTGAAGGCAAAGATGACTAAATTCATTTAAATAATTTCATATTAGGAAGAAATTCTTCATCCTGCACAGGCTTATGTAAAACCCAAACCGTTTAGTTTCTCTGCAAATTGATAGATCATCTGATAACATCTAGAGAAACATAGTTAGAGGTAGGGTCTATTCCTCCTGTGCTATGATTGACACAAGACTAGAGTGCTAAATGAGCAAAGTGGCTTCAAACCAGTGCTATGACTTTGACATACTTACTGCTCCCCATTGCTTAGTAACTCCTGAAATGGCAGAGTCTGCACTACAGCAACCCAGCCATAGTTTCCTGGGCAGGAGCCTGCAATGACTTTGTCCAGCGCAAGAGCTGGCCTAACACTTTTCCTTTAAAAAGTAAGAGTTTTCTGTGCTCTGTGTGTAACCCTCCACCTTACACTGCGATTTCCCAGCTCAACCCAATATTTGCTTTACAGACCTGACCTACCAAGTATCTCTCCTGTCTAGAACAAAATATATTTTTGTAATTAGAAGGAAATAAAATTATAACAAAGAAAGAAAAGCAGGAAGATCTAAGAAAAGATAATACAAAAAGTAGAAACTTTCATTAGAGTGTAAGAATCACATATGCAAAGCAAACTGTTCAGCAAGTGTATCAACAGGCACCATCTGTGGGTACTGACTTGCAAATCATTTGTAAATGAAAAGAGATAATTCTGCACAAAGACAGGAGAAAGGCAGGTGTGGGCTGTGGAGAAGTTGTTGGTATGTCCCAAATCTTCTGGACCTTCCATAACACATTTGTCTCATAAAAACAGGACCATTTAGGATACACCTACAAAGTTTACATGGAAGTCCCATAAAACAGAGAACCTGCCCTATAAAATTAGGGGATTTTCCAACTGTGTTTCTTTAAGCAAAACCAAAAGAACAACAAAATTTACTTAATAAAATAACCTACAAGCATATGCAAAACCAAACAGGCTGCCACAAAGCTTGAACAATGCCTTTCTTTGCTTACCAAGGATCACACACTTTCTGTGAAACACACAGAGATTCTGAATACCTGAAAACTACAGTAAAAGCAAACCTACCATTACAAAATCAGATGACAGTCCTGTTTGGTGGGGGATGGGAAATCCAAATTTTCCTCTCAGGATGCACATACATTTAAGTGAAGAGAATGCTATTCTTATAAACTCAAGTTGAAATTTGGGGTGGTTTGTTTGTTTGGTTTTTTTTTTCCAAAAAGAAACAGAACACTTGTGTAACATCAACAGAAAACCAGGATAGACTGAAAATCTATCCAGATTCCTATTCTCTATTCCAGAGAGATTCTCCAGTTTCAGTGACTCACTATCGTCCATACTATGAAATGAAAAGATGTAACTATAAAAGCTGATGTATAACACATCTTCAAACAAAGCAATGTTTAGGAGTAGCTGAAAATGCTATCTGTTTTTTAGTTTAATCAAAACAGAAATAAGAAGGAATAACTTTAAAATTCCTACCTGAAGTCACAGGGTGTTAAGAAACAAAAGCAAATCTGAGCATAAAATCACTGTTTTCTGCATACTCACACAATCTTTAAAACTAAGAAAATGCAGCAAACGAAGGGAAAAAATAATGATGGCTACAAGCAGCTCAAGTTCAAACCTATGTGTGCCACTGGACGTGCTTAGATTGTACAATAAAATTATTTGTTCAGCATTTCTAATTTAGAAATTAGGATCTAGCATTTTAACACCAACTTGTATCAGATTCTTTGAGCCATTATTTACAAGATACACTGCAAACAATGTTTAAAAACCGGAAGACAGACCATTAGCAGACCACAGCAGAATCTAATGCATTTCCTTTCTCAGTATCATTATTGACACAATCATCCAAAATGTCTACACATAGCAAAAGTTCCTCTATGACTACTATGTGGAAAGGACTTTGCAAACTATGAAATACAAATAAACATTTTTATGAGTACCAGTGATGTTTTATCCCAAGTGTCCTGTACATGTTAAGCAGCAACCTGTCTTAGGGAATAACTGTTATAAAGGATGGCTATGTAATTAAGGCTAAATTGAGATCATGTGACTGTTACTTTTTTCCTTTTTGTTTTTGCTGAGCTATACAATAGCTTATAAATATTCAATCTTGATAAAATACCTGAATGAAAGCGATGACTAAGAGTACTCTACCTCTTAGATAACAAAAAAGTCTTGTTACAACATGCCTGAACATTTTGTTTCTCTGACAGCCTTAGAGAATCTATTGCAAAATCCAGAAAGAACAGGAGTAAATTGTATTAATACTTAAAATGAAATTAATTTTTTCTGATGTGTCTTAGAAAACCAATTATTGCCACTGTCAAGCTGAGAAGGAGTACATGTACAGCCTGGTTCCAGTGGCTAAGTAGCAAAATGTGTTTTTCTTTTACACAAGATAAGACTTGATTATTTTGAAGTCCTGTATTTCTCAGAAGTACCTGAATTACAGTCCAGAGGTTCTCTAGGAGTATAAAACTGCAGTCTTTCACAAAAAAGTTTAACCTTCACTGACTAGCAATAGAGTTACATCAGTAAGCAGCTGAGGTTGCCAAGACTGGTTAGACTCGTTAGGTTGACACAGCCTACCATTTTCTGCTACAGGAAACTCACTAATGCCAAGGACAGACAAAATGATGCTTTAGCATCTAGTGACATCAGCCTGAAATGGCACTTGTTTTCTGCTCAGAAAAAACGACAGTAATTTGAAGCAGTTTAGAACTGCTATGTAGTGCAGGGAGCTTTTACTGCATTTGAACAGGTGTTTAAAAAGGCAGAAGAGCCACCAGTACCTCATGTAGTACATCAGCTAACATTATTACCTCCATCTTACATCTGAGGCTTTGAGTGAAGAGGAAAAACTTGGTTGTGGCTCATAAGTAGGAATATTTACTGTGATTAAATACGTTTTTAATAATTAAATGCCTACCCCTAATATTAATATTATATTGGACGAAGTGCCTTGGTACTCCCATAACTTGACTACTGTATACAACTTGATTAGACAAGGTCCTGAATTGAAAGATCTATAATATTGTGCTGTATCAGATGACTTGCATCTGCAAAATTAGAGTTAGATTTCAGTATGACTACTGAATTGATCAGAGGTATTGGTTCTGGATGCTAACTACAAGAGGTGGTACTCAAACTTTTTCTAAACTCACCAGGCCATTTTTATTTTGCTCTTTGTAATGCCCAAGATATTTGTAATACAGCCAGGCCTCAAAACTGTAACTTCGTAAACAGTAGACACAAAAAAATAACAAGGAACATGATGTAGGCAACTGGTTAATTCTAGAAAGAGTGAATGGAAAGTGGAAGAGATAAAGGTATTTAGACTTAATTAAAAATCATCTACACTTCTAAGTCAAGAATTTGAAAGCCAATTCATTTGTCATTCATCTGCAAATCTTGGGGATTTTTTTTTCTTCTGAACCAGTAGATAGCATTGTACTCCCAGAATAGTACCAGATGAAAAATAGTGACATTAAAGAGTAAACAGAGAGAAATGAGTCAGTACTTATACAATTACATTTGGGCACCAGTGGCAATGTTACAGAAGTAAAAAAAAAAAAAAAAGACTGGAAAAGCAAAAAACAATTTTGCAAAACATCTGAAAATGTTAAAGGTTCTATATTATACAGGGCTTTGCATCTTTAAAGCTTATACTAGGCTTCAGTCTGTCACAAGGATTCCTCATGTTACATACGTTTTCTTTGTTAAAAACTTTGCAGCACAGCCACAGTCTCATGTTGCAGTGATTCTGTAAGCAGTGCCTGGTCTGCTTACCACGAACCCATGAACGTATCAATAAACCAGATAAAAGGCCCTACCCAGATGGAGATGGGAGGTAGTTATGGGTTCAGCAAGCTAAAAACAGAGCTGAAGCTTTTCAGCTTTCACACTCAGTAACACTTTGTACAACCTGTGTCTGTCCAGATGATTATGTCAGAGAGGAAATCGCTGTTCAGTACCCCAGAGGGTTGGTAAGCCTCCTCCAGAGAACTGGCAGGAATAACCACATTTACACCTGAAATTGAAACTCCAAAGATATTCCAGTAGAGCACAAAGAAAGTCTTTCAGATTGCACAGTCTCTGGGTAGCGTTAGCAGATATCCTAAACCTCCAGTTCTAAAGGTCAGAGAGCCTTTAGTTACTGTTAGGTATTCTAGCTAAGAGACACTGGGCAATTAGAAAGGTATCTGATCGTCAAGTGAACATAGGATTGCATTTATGTTTGCTCTGCTTGATCAGCTGATTTTAGTAGTCTGGCTGATATCCTGGCATCAAATCTTGCTCAATAAATGCAGATGTGTGTATTTGTGTGAATGTGAGGGGGGAGTTATTCTAACTACTACCCTGGCCTAGTATTTTGAGTGCAAAATGCAGTGAGGTGAAATGCAAACCCAGGTTACTCCACTTCCATGAAGGTAGCAAATACTAATAAAGCCAAATACGTGAAGACTTTTGAAGGTTCTGTGTTTGCAGAAATATCACAGACATAAGCTGGTAGTATCTCTGCCAAGATGCTTAGGGCCAATGTGAGTGCTGGCACACACAAACATTGGGTGTTAGAGATATTTCCTCTCTGGCAAACAAGCCGAAGCAACAAGCAGAGGAGTTATTTACTCATCCTGCTTTGAGCAAGTCCAAACAAAACTCCCAATTTGTTGAACTGAGTGCAGAAAGTGAAACTAAAATGTATTTCCATGCTTCTTCAGTGAAAGACTTATTATTTTCACTGTATTTCCTTATACAAACATCACTCCTAGAAATCGAGCCAATGTAAAACAGAGCAACACTTGTGTCTTGGCGTCCAGTTCTCTGGCCAAGATAAAGCTGAAAGTTTTGGTAGTCTTCCAGGATATAAAATGCAATGCAGTGCTCAATATTATGTGTGCTAATAAAACTGAGTAGAAGCTTACATAACCACAAGCAGTAATAACAGCTTTCCGAAGCTGTTCACTGAGGGTCAGTATGCCAGGTGTGAGTGTTGAACAGGAACAACTGGGTGAAATGTCTGGTTTTGCTAGACAGCAGGAACAAACTACATTTGCACTAACCCTAATTAAAAGACTCAGAGGCACTACACGCCAGTGACAAAGCTGGTGACAGCCACATGTAGTCTTATATAGTCAGACTGCTGCACTCTATTTTGCACAAAATAACCCTCTGTACAATGGGTTACATGGGAAAGGTGCACGGGAAGACAAGATGTCAAAAACAAGGAGGCCTGCTTAAGGGCCACAGTTTTCTTTATGTTGTCACTTAGTGGCACTTCGCACTTCAGCATTAGGCACAAGCATCTGAGTCACACAAGGAGCTGTCAGAGCAATGCAACAACTCACCTGCAGCAGCAATAGCAGTTTTGCACTTGTTTGTGGTAAATGTTAGTGGTGGATAATGAAAAAGGAATGCATTAGGAACCAATGGCAGTAGAATACTTTCAATGTACTCATGTATGTGAAATGGGTGGTATAATCGTTTTAAGTGGACAGTTAGGAGTTTGGGGGAAAGGCAAAAATCCTCAAATGTGTACACTCAAGACTTTCAGTTACAATGGGAATATTGTCTGGCTACAAACTGTAGGAACAAGAATCCTTTGCCTAATTTATTAGCATGAAGTTTTCCTGTTCAGTGTGGAATAAGCCTTAAATTATGATATTAAACCTTTGAAATGGTCCTGAAAACACAGGGATTCAACAGTACACACAGGGCAAAATACATCTGCCAAACTTTCTATTCTTACCTCTTTTAAACTATTTTAATACCACTTGGGAAAGAAAAGGGTCCCTTTTACTGTTAATAATATATTATTCTGCTCTTTTGATCCTTATCTTTTGCGTTCTAATTACCTAAATGTCATGCAGGCCTAATAAATTGGATAAAGGGTATTGATTTCGCCTCTGTTTCTTGTAGTTAAACCATCGAGTCAATTAATCTGCATTGTATATTTAGGAAGATCATCAGTTATTAAAATTGTAAGAAGGCAGACAAAATTAAACTGAAGAGTATTTCAGCAAATGAGTCCATACCTACTATATATTCACAAGATTTTCACATGGTTGTGTTTCTAAATAGTAAGCACTGGAAATTATTGGAGACTTTGAGGAGATGTTTCATGTTTTATCTGCCTTGAAAATCAGGCAAATAAATTGCTTCGAATCATAGAATGGTTTTGGGTTGGAAGAGACCGTAAAGATCATCTAGTTCCACGCCGCTGCCATGGGCAGGGACACCTTCCACTAGCCAGGTTGCTCAAAGCCCCGTCCAGCCTGGCCTTGAACACTTCCAGGGAGGGGACAGCCACAGCTTCTCTGGGAAGCCTGTTCCAGTTTCTCTCCACCTTCACAATAAAGAATTTCTTCTTAATACTTAATCTAAATCTACCCTCTTTCAGTTTAAAATCCATGTGCAGGACCTTGCACTTGGCCTTGTTGAACTTCATGAGGTTTGCATGGGCCCACCTCTCAAGCCTGTCAAAGTCCCTCTGGATGGCATCCCTTCCCTCCAGTGTGTCGGCCACACCACACAGCTTGATGTCATTGGCAAACTTGCTGAGGGTGCACTCAATCCCACTTTCCATGTCACCGACAAAGATGTTAAACAGCACCATTCCCAACACCGACCCCTGAGGAACATCACTTGTGCCTGCTCTCCACCTGGATCTCAAGCTGCTGACCACAACTCTTTGAGTGTGACCATCCAGCCAATTTCTTATCCACTGAGTGGTCCATCTGTCAAATCCATGTCTCTCCATTTCTGAGACAAGGATGTCATGTGGGACTGTGTCAAATTCTTTGTACAAGTCCAGGTAGATAACATCCTTTGCTATTCCCTTATCCACTGTGCTGTGTTTGTGTGTATGGTGGGATTTTCTGTAACAGGGGAGGAGGCTACAGCAGTGACCCCTATGAGAAGCTTCTCAAAGCTCCACCAGCTCCAAGTCAGACCCACCTCTGAGTCAAGGCCAAGCCTATCAGCAACAGTGCCTCCGCCTCTGTGATAACGTATTTAAGAAGGGAAACTGGGAGGAGTTGTTGGAGTTGTGAGAAGGAGTTCCAAGGAGGACACATAGGCAAACACCAAGTGGAAAAAAGGAAGAGGAATGGGGGGAGGTGCACTAGTGCAGAGACTCCCCTGCAGCCCGTGGTGAGAGGGCAGGGCTACCCCCAGCACCACCCATGGCGGTCCACTGTGGAGCAGATGCACACCTGCAGCCCACCCCTAGCCAGAGCAGGCGGCTGCACATGAAGAAGGCCAGGACTCTGTGGGAAGCCTCCCTGCTGGTGTAGTTTAGCACTGGGAGGATTGCAACACATGGGATGGACCCACTCCAGAGCAGCTCAGGAATGGCTGTGGCCCGTGAGAGGGACTCACGTTGGAGAAAGTTCATGGAGGACTGCTTCCTGTGAGAGGGACCCCATGCTGGAGCAGGAGAAGCTGGCGAGGAATTACCTCCTTCCCTGAGGAAGAAGCAGCAGCAGACTGACCATAACTCCATTCCCTGACCCCTGCACCACTGAGGAAGAGGAGGTAGAGAAATCAAGAACAAAGCTGGAGCCTGGAAAGAAGGGAGGGGTGGGGGAAGGTGTTTTAAAGATGTGGTAATGATCCTCACCGTCCCACTCCCTCTGTTAAGTGTTGTTGTTAGTGTCTGAATTAAACTGATTTAAATTGATGTTCTTTTTTACTTACCCTAACTAGTCCATCTTTTGTCCCTGACCATAATAGGTCAATTATGCCTCTCTGTCCTTATCTCAACTCCCAAGCGTTTTGTTTTATTTTTCTCCTTTGCATTCCTGAGGGGAAAGGGGTGAGTGTATGGCAACGTGGTGCTGTTGCCCTCTGAGTTCAAACCACAACATCCACCAGTGCTCTAACCCTGTCACAAAAATCCACCAAATTTGGCAGGCATAGTCTACCCTCAGCAGAGCCATGTTGGCTATCACCAGCCACCTCCTTATTTTCTATGTGCCCTAGTATAGTTTCCAGGAGGATCTGCTCCATGATCTTGACAGGCACAGAGGAGTGACTGACTGACCTGTAGTTCCTTGATGTCTTCCTTTTTTCCCCTTTTTAAAAATGGGGGTTATGTTTCCCCTTTTCCAGTCAGCAGGAACTTCACTGGACTGCCATGACTTCTCAAAATGATGGATAGTGGTTTAGCCACTTCACTGGCCAGTTCCCTCAGGACCCACGGATTCATCTAATTGGGTTCCATGGACTCGTGCACCTTCAGGTTTCTCAGATGGTCTTGAACATGATCTTCTCCTATAGTGGGAGGTTCTTCATTCTCCCAGTCCCATCCTTTGCCTTCTGCGATTTGGGCCATGTGGCTTGAGCACTTGCCAGTGAAGACTGAGGCAAAAAAGTTGTTGAGTACCTCAGCCTTCATATCCCAGGTAATCAGTTCTTCCATTTCCTTCTGGAGAGGGCCCACATTTTCCTTAGTTTTCCTTTTATTGCCAATGGACATTTATCAAACTTCCCAGGGTTTTGACATTTATTTAAAGAAAAAAAAAAAAAAAAAAAAAAAAAAAAAGCACAAGACTTAGAATTGTTGATACGAAAGTATATATATTTAATTTTTCTCAAATGCATTTTGAGATAGAACAAGGGAAGGGGAAGTTATAGCTGGTCATAATGTTTTACCACTGCCTTTGATATCTAAATACCACATGATTGTGATAATGTGCAAATAGATGGTGTTAGTCCAGCTGATGGTGAGCCGTCAGCACTGCTGCGGGTGTTACGGCTGCCCTAGCACTGGCCAGAGCCAGAGCACCACAGCCAAGATCCTAGTAGGGTGCCTCTTCCTCAACCCAGGGGGAAAGGTGCTGATGGGGTAGGGAGATCTGGGGTTCAAACACGGGCATGTGGTGTCATGCAGAGTCTTCCCCCTCCGACAGGTGGGCTGGGAGCTCCCAGGCAGCCCCAGAGACCTGTGGGACCAGGACAAAGGGAAGAGGGAGGGAATCTGCCTGTGGTGCTCCTCCAAGGGTGGAATGCCCCAACCAAGCTAAGCATGTGAACACGGTTAAATGAGGCTAATGCTTTCCTATAACAGGGAGGGAGAGTGAAGTTAAACATATCAGAGATGTTCATTTACTGCAGTGCTGGTGGCTATATAAGGCAAGTTGACTGCACAGATTAAATGCCAAAAAGCCCTTCAGCAATGATTAGTTTGCGGCTGCACTGACTGCTGCTTCAGCTGTGATCATAATCACCTTCCTCACCAGCCCCTGTCTGCTCTTCAGTTGTTTCTCATATTCTGCTTAGCTATTGCTTTAGAAGAGTTTTACAATGAGCTCTTCAATGTGTTTGTACAGCACATACACAATAGGGCCCAGTCCCTGACTGAGACCTCCCAGCACTAGCGGAGTGCAAATAGCAGTAGTAATTGCATACTCAAGTCTCTCACTGGAGAAAATGTGAGTCATGGCAGGCAAAGAATGCCAAAGAATTGGGCTTGTTTTCTGCCTTTGTTTTTAACTTTTCTTTAATGGTAACATTTGCTTCCTTTCCAAGGAATATGACTGTTAGTGCACCACTGCATTTCTAGTTTTCTTTTCACTCTCATGTTTTCTGATTCTCTAAAATAATTTGAAGGAAACTGAAAATCTTTAATCTTGAAAAGAAAAATTTCAGTAATTTCAGGCATAATTTAAATGTGTATTTTCAGAGGCAAATAGCATTCTCAACTTTCAGTCATTTCAGCATTTGGTAGGACATACAGAAAATATTTGCATTGTTCTCATCTTTAATATATGCAATGGTTCTGAGGGAAATGTTCCTTCTGGTCTTAAGGATTTCTAAAATAATATCAGGTACTAGAAAAGGAATTTTTCTCCAGAATAGTTTAAAAACTGTAATTTTTTTTCTTCAGTTAAGGGACTATGTCTAGAATCCTTTTAAATAATAGCAAATTTTACTGCATTTATTTGCAGTTTTATTGCATTTTCTAATTGAAAGCAAATGATAAACAGAAGTAAATGTAATTTTTTTTCTTCACATTTTATTTAAGCAAATAGGTAAAAGGGCAAGGTGATTAGGAAACTGTGAAGTTTTGTTTCAAACTTTTTGGTTTCCTGATTCAAGCATAAACACAGCCAATTCTGTCCCCATTAATATGAAATGCTGCCTAAGGGATTCCACTTCCCTTAGGAGGAACTGAATCCAGATTCAGGGTATACACAGCAGCACCAGTTCCACAGAGTAAACCCACTGAACAACACATGTTGGAGCGGTCCTCTGGAGGTTTCTATTCCCACCTCCCACTCAAAGCAGGGTCAGCTTTGAAATTAAGTCAGGTTGCTGGAGGCCTCATTCAGCTGCATTTTTGAAAGCCTCCAAGGATGGAGACTCCACAGCCTCACTGGGCCCCTACTTCACTCCGGCACCATCCTCCTGATACACTCTTCATACACTAGACAATCTAAACCAGTATTTTATTATGTGGCGTAAATTTTACTATCCAGCTAGTACATAGCTATGCAAAATCAGTACAATCAACAATTTGAGCTGGTAAAGAAAGGTTTGTAGAAGATCACTACTCTCCTTTGTCATATCAGTAGTGTATTTTTTTTCTATAATATTCTTTTTTACATTTGGACTATGTTAAACAAAAGAAAAAAATCCCAGCCGCATTGATGCAATTCATACTCTTTATTACTCCTTTCTGTGATTAGTCTTTTTCTGTATCATCCAAAATGTCTTGTTTTTAATCACTGTTGCAATCATATTTCCATTGTAAATATGAATGGGAGTGCTGAAAGGGTAAGAGTCAATAAATCCTGAAGGGTAGCACCTTGGGATTAGGCATCAGAATAACTGTATCTTATTCCTGCCTCTCCCGCCTACTGTGTGAAGTACACCCAAGCTGTTTCATCTCCTAATGCTTTTCACCATTTCTGTTTTTCTAGGCCCTGAGTCTGCAAAAAACAGAGAAGGCTTGCAAGATTGGCGACTTCTTTGAAAACTCTCTTAAGGAAGTATTGTCTCTCTCCACAGTTCTCCACAACTCTGACAGTACCAAGAATGTCACTGAACTTTTGGAGGCTCTCCCCTAAAACTATTAATTAAAGATAAAATTGAAAGTTTCAAACCTGATACTTAAAAAAATCTGTTTCATTTCATTAACACACTCCACACCCCTCTTACTTCAATTAGGATTTTTGTCACATATGTTAAAGTTCATTAATTATCATACTTTGGGATCTTGGCAAGGAGTTTGAAAGTAATCACAGCGTCTTTGGAGATTCAGTTTCAGAAGATTAGTTCATTATACTCCAAGACTGTAGCATAAGTATCATGCTTGTGTTGTTTGACAACAGAAAAAAAAAAAAAAAGGGGGGGTGTGGAACATTTAAAGCATTTTTTTTTCTTCTTTTTTTTTTGTTTAAACGTATTTTCATTGTCACTCTGCTGTGAAGTCACGCAGTCAAACATCAAAACATTGCCAGCTGAAAAATCCAGATGTCATGGAAGCTTAACTAGCCATATTAGTTGCTTCACAATATATACACATACAATTAAAATCAAGATTCTGAAAGGCATTACTCTATTTCTCACCTAATTGATGTGCTATTGATATTAGAAAAAAAAAAATCATGCTTCCTACACATATAGGAATACTGTAAGAATCTGGAGGAAAAGAAAACATAGCAAATACAATACGAGTTTTTCTCTTCTGAGAATGAACAATTACAGACAATTCAGGCTGCTTCTAAAAAATACAGCTGACCCTCTTGAAGTGGCATTAGTGGACTACATCTCCCATTACCAGTCAGGATGGATTCTGACATCATTAATTTCTATCTGTAGATTACAGGTGATACATTATAAAGGTAAAATGTAACAAAGGAGGTCATGATAGTTGGGGATATGAAGAGAAGAAGGGAAGCATATGTGAAGCTAGTGGGTGAAAGCAAAACTGAGCTGCAAAACTGTATTTTTTTGTTGGTTTTTGTTTGGTATGGGGTATT